TGAACAATTTGGATTCCAAAAATCAGCAACATTATCTCTGCCTGTTCAAAATGATATAAACCCTCAGTAGTTTGATACTTAAACGCTTAGCTATCGTCTGGCCGGCAATCTACTGTCTGCCCATCTATTGCATCGTATGATTATCGATGTAGTGCGAGCAAACTTGTGACATGCATTGAAATGACACAATCAAGTTGTTTCTGATAGTGACATATCTACGAATATTGGTAGAAGATTAGTATACTGTCAGAGAGATTACAAGATGTTGCTTTCTTGCAATTACTAGCAGTTGTATTTCTCACTAGCGACATCTGTCAGAAACCTTGAAAAAACACATGTTAAAAGAAACTTGCTTCAAACATGAAGTATCTTATTTGATGGTAAACTAAATTTTGGTCTTTTCGATACTTAAATTATCGCATAGGACATATTTGTTCCCACACTATGAATTAAGTACATAACTGCAACAAAGTCTACTAATAAAGTGTGAGGTATAGGAAGCTGCGGACCCCTTCAGACTCGATCTGGGTCTACAAAAATGTGTACACGTAGCTCCCTAGTGAGGCATCTAGGATTTGATAGCATCTCTATGAACATTTTAGCGATTGTAATCTAGGTAACTCTATTTCTTTCATTGTCGTTCAATACCTGAACATTGCAATAAGTAAATTAACCAAAAGTATATTAACAATTGCCATATAAATAACAAGTAAAATAAATACAGCATACCCATTTGGACGATAATTGTCTGAATGAAAAAGAATTTATTATTTCAAAAAAAAGAAAAAGAAACACATCTTGATTTATTTACGTTCAAATGAATCTAATGCATTTAGTTCTCCAAATATTTGCCAATAAGCAAGATTTATTATTTCACGTGGTAAATGCCAAGTAAATGCTTTTGCACCATAAATAAGACTATAAGATGATACACCAAATCCCATAATAAATACAACTAACATAATCATATAAAATTTCAAATCATGCATCTTACAAAAAATAAAAATACGTAAAGAAATCAAATGAAAAATTTTCTTACCATTTCACCAATCATAACAAGTTTAGGACCAAGTCGTTTAATAGCAGCAAATAGATCTAATGAACGTATAAACCATATTGTTATATCAACTGAGAAAACAATACGTGCTGCACAAAAACATTCTGTATATGGCAGAAATCGAAGTATAAAACCAACATAAAAAAGTAGTATTGCTATAACATCTAATTTATTCCAAAATACTTCAAAATATGCGACCATTGCATTCCGAATCGATTTTGCTTCTAATGAAAAGAACTATGAAGAAAATTTACAACAAAAAACAATATTCAATATAAAAAAACAAATCATATTCAAATTACTTGTCGAATTTCTTCACAAAGTAATGTTGTAACCCAAATAAAAAGTATATATTCTGACATAGATGGTCGATCATGTTTTTGAAATCCATATGGAACTGTTATATTCGTATTAATTTGATTATCTTTTATCAATGAACTATTATTACTACCATATTCTTGTCTCTCAGGCGGACTATTTGGTCCACATACATCCGATTGAAATTCATACAGAGGAAAAAAATCAGATAATATCATGTAAGAAAAAAGAGATAAAAAGATCACATGAAAATACTAGAAAAGAATATGAAAGATTTTTTGTATAAGAAAAGAAAAAGAATATTGAAATGAAATACATACTAAATTATATAGATATTTAACATATGGAGCACGTAGAAATTTTAAAATATTTTTAAAATATTGAGAAATTTGATTGTTTGCCCTTAAGGTAAGAAAATAAATATTCTCTTTCTAATTACTATTAACAATCTTACATATTAAAAATTATCAAATATTTCAAGCATTCGTTTAGTGAATTAATCGCAATGTTATAGCATATATAATGCTTTTAGTATGTATCAATTATTTTTTTTTGATTTACTTTTCGCAAAAGCCAACAGCGATGAAATCAACAGGAGTATTATCTACACTTGCAACACCATGCATTAATCTCATTTGAATATCATCTGTTGGCCTAAAGAAACAATAAGAAAAGAAAAATTAAATTTGTGTACATAGTAATATAATCATATGAAAATAATACTAATCAAAAGCAAAGATAACACATTTTGTGAAACACGATCTAAAAGAAGATTTGAAGTGTATAGGGATAGAAATTTGGATCCCCTCATAGACTGTTACAGACGACCTCCAGACTTATCACAGGTCGTGACAGATATTCTTGATACATGATTAGCGATCATATATCACTAACATATCATGAGAATGTATGAACTGTTTGTTTCTTGCAGTTCTAGAGGATTAAGTAAAAGATGATCAGAAAAATGGATACCAAGGTAGATTGAACAAAACAATATTCTAGTGATTAGTAACAACAACTATAATGTGTTTCACATTTTAATCCCGCAGGGTTTGTGCTAACAATTTTTGTTGAAGAAATAAAATACTAATGTGAGTTTTGCTAATCATATTTATATATTAAAACAGTTTTCTAGTTCTCTTAAACGAGCGTTGAAGTATAGAGATAGAAATTTGAATTCCATCCGTAGTGTGCATTTTTCTCAAGGCAGACGAAAATGTGACTTTCTTGCTCAGAAATGATTGAATATAACGCAAAAAAGTATTTTTAAGAAAAAAAATTTTTCGACGAAAAATATTCAGCGCGAACTTTTACTCTCATTTTTTCGAGAAAATTTTTTTCTTCAGAGCTATTTTGTATTATAGATCATTCGACACAGTTTAATACGCTGATTCCGAATATCCTATTTTTGTCGATTAAATATTTATTTAAAGCCAGAAAAACTGAAAAACCCAGATTTTTTGGAAACCTATTGTGCAATCCAGGAATATTTGCGCTAACAAGAATTAGATAAAAGAACATTCTGGCAAACTTTGCAAAAGATTGGAGGTTGGATATAGGTGAAATACTCATTTCATGAGACTAATCTTTGGGACAACACTGTAGAAAAAAATATTTTTTCACCAATCTATAGATCTCGGTTTGGAGATTCAGAAAAAGTGCTTGATTTGTTTGTCGATCAGTTTAATTTCATCAGATAGGAATTTTCCCGCTGATATCACAATTTTCAGGCTAATTTTAGGCAACTAGTTTTTCACTTTCTTTGATAGTTGTAAGAAAGTTATTTATACGATTAGATAGACTATATTTCGATGTATATTTCTCTATATTTAAATCTTGAAAAGTGTCATCTTCATTTTAGCTAAATGTTCGCATAAATGCGCACACTGTGCTCTCCACAGACAAGATTAACATGGGATAGATGTTGCTTTTGTTCATTCAGACATGTGGTCAAAGAAAAAATGTCAAGACTTAGTATGTCGTTTAATCCTTTTTTTCTACCATATGGCCGCTGAACTAATCAAATGGCCCTCTACAAAGAGATGGACACTCAGTGGATCAAACTATATCATAGATATATTTGACAAGCTAATACTCTATTTCTAATTTTAGTAGTTCTTTGAGAATCGTTGTAGGCGATCAAGGGTTACAATAAGTATACAATTCATTGAAGAAAACTGTGAAACAAGAAAATTTAATATCTCAAATCTTGTTAATATCTATTTTTCTATTTAAGTTCTCGCTTTTCTTCAATGTCTGTAAAAGATAAACTATAACATAATAAAATTGATAACAGTTTTTAAAAAAATCAATTTAAAACATAATACTTGTTCATCGAATGCAGTGGTTTTGTTGTTTGACTTTGTTGTGGTAAATTTGCTTTACTAAGTAATTCCTAGATATTTAAAACATAATAAAAGAACAAATAAAACGAAAAAGAATACATCTATAAATCTTGTTGGGTCACTTGTTTTAACTAATTTATCGTGATAACGAAGGAAACCACTATACCAAAACATAATTGTCGAAAAGATGATTTTCATTTCACTTTCTTTGTGATCAATATATCCATACCTAGATTTAAATATCGGATATTTTATAGAAAAAAAAAAGAAACTTTAAATTTCAATATACCAAATATTATTGAGTACATCTTGTACTGCTCGTTGAGCAATAAATTGTTTAGCTTCAGCTTTTATAGCTAATTCTAACCATGTGACATTACCATAGGATGGTATTTGTCGTATAATTGCTTTTACACATGCACGAGAATTAATTTGATAAAATCGATCAAGAATTTGTACAGCTAAGTTTTCAAATTCATCAGCTGTTTGATAATAACTATTATCATGATCTTTACGAGCACGTTTTCTATAAACTAATGCAGCAATTAATGCCGCACCTAAGAAAATAGTTTGTTTTTCATATATATAATAGAAAGGAAAGTTTACTTACAGACTTTATTTTTACCACGAGACCAAAATAATAGATTAAACTCACGTTTACCTGTTATTACAGACCAGAGAAAAAGTTCTTTGTCAATATCCAAATGATAACCAGAATAACCTGTAAAAGATTGAATTAAGAAAGAAAATATGTTAATATTATATATATATA